AAAAAAAAAAAAAAAAAGAAAAGCCAAGGCCCTGACAGATTCAGTGCTGAGTTCTACAAGAACTTTAGAAAAAATCTAATTCCACTACTCCTCAAAATTTTAATGAGACTGAAAGGAAAGCAATACTCTCAGTCATTCCTGAAAACAAGCATTACCTTGACAGCAAAACAACTGAAGGATCCAACAAAAAAGAGGAGTATGTACCAATCTCTTTAACAAACATAGATGCAAAAATCTTCAATAAGATACTGGAAAAAAGAATGCAGCCAATCATCAAAAAGATTATACAACATGACCAAGTAGGATTCATCCTTTGGATGCAGGGATGGTTCAACATACACAAATCAATAAACAAATACAGCATGTTTACAGCACCAAGAACAAAAACCACATCATCACCTCAATAGATGTACAAAAAGTGTTAGACAAAGTCCAACACTCACTCATGTTTAAAAACAAGAAACCTCCAGAAACTTGGCTTTTAAGTGGCACTATTCTTTTCAGCAACCACAACTTCTGCCTTCAATTTTTCACACACTTATTTCTAGCCAAAATTCAAGGTTTTTAAATCTTTCAACTCTACTTTCTTTTCCTCATTCTCAATGTGATCTGGTTAAAACCAGCTGGCAGTAAAAATTTTGTGCTGCCTCATAATTTCACTACCTGGTTATTATGTAAAAAAACAAACTTACTCACTTTGTTACCTATGTTTGTGATCACAATAATTACATTCAACTTGGAGAACTGGTATACATACATATCACATCTTAAATATTTTTACTTCCCTTTCCCTTCCCCTCTGCCCCCTTTCACCGATCCCCTTAACTCCATAATGTCTACCTCCAAGTTTCTTACCATCTTTTTTTTATTTTCCTCTTTAAATCATGCATATTTTTACCTTCTCATATAAGAGAAACCACATGAATATTTGAACTTCTGTGTCTAATTTATATCACTTAGCATTATTGGTTTCAAGATGCATCCATTTTCCTATACTTAAATTTATCTTTCTTTAGGACTCAGTAGAACTCCATTGTGTATATACAGCACATTTTATCTGTTGGCCACTTCCTTAAGTTAACTATTAAAATGGTACACCTATAAAGATATGAATATGCAAGGATGTCTGTAATGTTTTTGTCTCTAAAGAGAGGATATCCAGATGAGGTATATCTAGGTCAAATGGAATTTTAAGGATTCTTCATATTGATTTCCATAGTGGTTATACTAAGCTACACTTCCATCAACAATGCAACATGGTTCCTTTTTCCCAAACAGCTTCACCAGCCATTTGGTGTTTTTTATGTTCTTGATGATAGCCATTCTTTTTGGAATAAGACAGAATTTCAGTGTTCTTTTGATTTGCATTTCCCTAATGGCCAAATCTGCTGAGCATTTTTTCATGGATTTATTGGCCATTTGTAATTCTTTGAGAAGTGTTTATTTCAATTGCCTATTTTTTGACTGAGTCTTTTACTTTGGGGGTCTAATTTTTTTATTTATATATTGTAGAGTTTAGTCTTCTATCCAAGAGTAGCTGGCAAAAATTTTTCCCATTTTGTGGGTTGCCTTATCGCTCTGTTGGTTGTTTTCTTTGCTGTGCAGAAGCCTTTTAATTTGTTATAATCTCATTTGTTGATTCTTGGTATTATTTCTTATGCAATTGAGGTTCTGTTCACAAAGTTCTTGCCTTATGACTTTCATCAAGTGCTTTACCTATTTTATCTTTCAGCAGATTCAGTGTTTCTGTTCTTGTATCTAGGTCTCTGATCCATTTTGATTTGATTACAGTACAGAGTATGTAATGATCCATTCTCCTGCTTGTGAATAACCAGTTTTCCTAGCACCATTTGCTAAAAGGACTATCTTTTCTCCAGTATATGTTTTGGCCTCTTTCTTAAGATCTGCCAAATGTTGGTATAAAATATTTTATAAAACTTCCTGTATTTGTTTTTGAGAAACAACAAATCCTCATTATCTTTAGCCATTAAATGTAGGCATTAGAATCAAAATTGTACAAAGAAAACACAGAATTGTATGACAGATGATGTTAGATACAAAAGAGGGGATGAGTTCAGGAAAAGGCTCATTTTAGTAATTTGAGTCAAATTATATAATAGCAAATATACCAGAAGAATGGGGGAAGGAAAGAAGGGAAAAGGGGTTTAAAGAAAAAACTGAAGGAAAAAATGGACATAGAGCTTTTATAAATGAGGAGGGGAGGAAGGGTTGAAGGGAAAGGAGGTGAAGGGGACAAAAAGATTTAATATGTATCATGTCCATGTTTAAATCCCCCATGATGCATGTGATCATTAAGTACTGAAAACACGTACTAATAAAAATAAATAAATGTTTAAAAAAAACAGAAAAATGGTGGATGTGCTTTGTATTTTGGATTGTGGAGCTTGAGGTGCCCCTTGGATAACTACAAGGGAGTTGACACTATGAGCTAATGGCTGGGGAAGAGGTCCAAGGTGGAAAGAAAACAGAAAATGATCAAACTATCATTTACAAGAATTGTAAAATGAGACAAATGGTGAACAGGATACAACATTCAAATAATCTAAATCACAGAGAAAAATGTATAAAGAATCAGCAATGTCATGCCAGAAAATTAAAATAAAAATTTCCAGGTGAAGATCATAGTAGAAGATTCAAGCAAAGCAGATGCCAGAGAAAGGTGTTGGATATGATAGTAATTTAAGTTCCTGGTAAAATTTTGAAAGCCTGAAATAAGGCTAGAGCAAGTAGGTTAAGGGGCAAATGAACAACTGAAATATTTCAGGGGAAATGTATATCTGAACAGTCTGTGTTATAACCTGCAGAGACAAACTGGGAGGAATGGGAGTTACTTATGGACCCACAGTAGATTCTCTGCTCCATACATTTCATGTTTGATGTGTCAAGTGGTGTCCTCTAGAAGCTCTCTAGAACCACACTAGTTTGGCAAATCCAGAAAAATCTTTTTACTCAATTTGTGTTTTTGTACTAGGTAACCAAGAATGCTGTTTATTTCCGGCCTGATAGTGAAGCAATGTCTATGATATTATCTATGTCCTCCATGAGCCCTCTGTTTTATTAGAGTTCATACGCTGTAAAAATTCAGTATGCATTCCTCTTGGGGACACTTCAAGCAATGTAACAAATAGGTCATTTTCAAATGGTAACAGCAAGACCCTAGACCAATTTGCACCAAATTAAGATGACAATAAGGTCTTATAACATGGCTGTATTACTACCAATTTTACCACATTTACATATACAGAGTCTGCCAAAAAATGCACATCAGGAAAAAAAAAACTGGTATAAATATTCTAATACTGAATTTACTGAGACATCACGAGATTAATACAAGCTACCTCTGGCCTCAACAATTACAAGAGGTGCTCAAAGTGGTGATCATGAGCTTCCAGACTTTTATTAGTACAATAAACTGCTGAAGTGTGTACACATTTTTTTGGCGGACTCTGTATTTTTCTGATGTTATGTTTTGTATTTCTTTTTCCAGTTTAATTAATAAATGCTAAGAAAGCTCCTAAATTACAGTGTAAAACAAGCTAAGGAACAAATAAACAACTTACCACAGATGGATTCATTTCTTTGCTCTTGGTGACACACAGAGGACTCTGGAATTACAGGTGAAAGAGAAGGTAAATGGAAAGAGTCTGAGAGAGTTGGTATGTCTTGCTGCTGGAGGGGAGGGAAACAACTAGAAAATAATGTTTCTCTGTGTGGAGAAACAGTCTTATACATGACAACTGAAGATTTTGCTGAAGGAGCATAGCAATTTCTATTAATTGGTAAACGTGAAACAATCCTTAGGTTAATGGAGACATTTATTTGCCACTGGCTTAGTAAAAATAGATGTTATGAAGATACAAAGTTGTAGTGATGGCTCTTTACTGAACTAAAGTATGCCTAAGGAAGACATATCATGTGGTCACTAAAATTTAAAGCATAGAAAATACCTAGCAGGATTATCTTTCTGTCAATGCTAATGTGCCATACAGGGCTCCACACTGGTGTTTCCATTATACCATCTATTGGTTTTGCATGCTTAAATTTCATAGAAATTATGCATCTTGAAACTTAACATTGTTGCCCCAAACTGCTTAGGCCAAATGTACATAATGTGCATTTACTGGTTTCAAAGGAATGGTTCCCAGTCACAAGTCCCTTGATATTCACCTGTTTGTGTACTTTCCTCCTACAATGACTCAGGGCTCTGCCATTTCATTTCCTTGGGCCAAATGGACATTTGAAAATGAGTTAAAACATAGTTTGTAGAAAGTATTTTTCCAATGCAAACTGCCTTCCTGGAATACTGACGTCTTTGAATGGGCCCTGGAGATGAACAGTGGGACATATGTAGCCTAGCCAGGCACCAGCAGAAACCAAACGTAGTGAACTTAGCCTCAAAGAGCCAAGCTCTCAAAGCACAAGATCACTAACCATTCATTTGTAATCCCATATCACAGAGGCAAAAGAATCAAATAGCTCAATCCAGCACAAAATGCTGACTAATAGGATCATAAACACATGATATTTTAAATGCAGTATTTTTTGTGATTTATTATGTATGAAACACTATTGCCAATAATCCTCCAGTATTCAATGTGTTAACATATTGGTGAATAGAAAAGAATTGAATTACGTAATACAACCAAAGGAAATTCATGATCACATATACAAGTTTTCATAAACATCATGTCCTTAAGAGAGGTCCTGTGAATCATGTAAATTACCTGAAAATAATAAAACTATGTTTAACTTTATATTATAAATGTGTTACTTATTTGTGGATATTGTATTGTTTTTATTTACATTTTAATAAATAATTTAGAAGTAAACAGATGATTTAGCCTAATTTTCTCATTTTAAATAATGAAAAAGAGGTCCCCATTAATTTGCTGTAGCATCTATGATCTTCAACAACAGACTATAAGGCCGGGTGAGGAGGTGCACACCTATAATCCCAGCACTTGGGACAATGGGGCAGGAGGATCGCTGCAAGTCTGAGGCCAGCCTGGGCTATATAGTTCAAAAACAGCCTAAAGTACACAGTGAGACCCTGTCTCAAAAACCATAAAAATGAGAACAGATTATAGAAACCCTGTGTGTAAAACAGGGTTAACTGAAAACAATAAAATGTCCCTCAATGAGCTTAACAACAGATTTGTTAAGACATAAGTTATCACAACTATTTTATAGCAAAGATGATCTCTATGCCCAGTTTAAAGGGAGCAGCTCCTCAAGGAATGCCATATACCTCACACGCAAAGGATGCTGCTGCTAAGGAAAGAATCACAGTTTATTCATTATTTGATAACAGTGAACAAGCTGCTTGTTAAGTTCCTGCAGTCACTGATTTTAAAAGAGGCAGCAATACTTCAACTGCAATTTCCAGCAGATAAGCACAGCTTTGAGAGCTACCACTTAGTGTTGGCTACAGTTACATAAGTAATACAAACTTCATAACACAGATTTAAATTGCAAGAAAGCCTCATTTTCTATTGCTGCCAAAAGAAGTCATCTAAAATTAATTGTGTTAAAATAATAGGAACATTTTCTCTCCCAATTCTGGATGACCTATTTCCAATATCACTGACACTGAACTAACATCCAAGTGTTAGCAGGCCACAACCCTCCACAGTTTCTAGGAAAGAACTGGTCTAGCCTCTAGTGGTGGCTGAAAATCACTGGGCTGTGCTCACAAATGTTTCTCTTCTCTGTATTGATGGAGCCCTCCAACTAGTAAGACATCCAAGACTCTGTCACATTGAAGATGATAGTACTCTATCAGAGAGCTACCTTCAAACTCCCCAGGATCTGGACCCCACAGCATAAGAAATGTTGGATCCTCCAATAAGTTTGTCCTCCCACACGTGGTTTTGCAGGATTGAAAAAGAGCAAGACAATGAGAGGGCATTTCACCTACAGCCCGGAGCATGGGATGAAAGACCCACAAGAGTGAGATGGCAAAGAACACAAGACACTCCTCTCTCTGAAAAGAGAACATTTGGAGATTACCAAACTAAGATGAGCTCATTGGAAAGACAATCCAAATGAAGAGTATAGGAAAAAGCCATGTTCAGACAGAGGCCCCTACCTGTTTTACTACAGCCATGGATGTTTTCCCAGCTCCATGGAGCCATGGATCGTCTCAATTAAAGCTTTCTTCATTCTCTGCAAGTTCCTGGACTCGATCCACATGCGAGGCAATGTATATATTCACATCTCTGGGTTATACACACATATCAATTATCTCTGCGTGTGTGACAGTGGGTGTCACTGCCTCCTCTCCAAGACCCTGGCCTGCAATTTTCTGTAGTTGGATTTCTTGGAAATTGACTTTCATCAGTCTGGCTCCATGCTCCCTCCCATGTGGTTTTAAAGCTGGGATGATTATGAAATTCATCTGATTTGATCAGAGTACTATCCACTAAAAATAATGACCTTATCTTTCTGGATCCAGAAACTAACTTCTCACTGCTATCTTTATGCAGATCAAGTATGTGTGCATGGTGCTCCACAAAGCAACTCAGCACCTAGACTGGTGATGGCACCGTGTTATAGCTCTCGCATCTGGACCATGATCCAGGTGGGAAACATGGTAGAAATTCTGTTTGGAAGTGATTCACTGAGTATCTGGAGCAGCCTAATTGCAGCTGGGCTTGGAAATGTCAGGATGGAATAGAATGTTTAACATCATGATTTCAACTCTTAACGTGGACCCAGCCCACAGCAGGAGACGTGTCTTCTGGAGGCAAATTAGCAGTTTTCCCCAGCACCAAAAGGGGTGGTAAAATAATCCCTTGTGAAAGATAATGCCAGACATTCATCAAACTGGTAAAGAGAGACTTTAATCAGGAATATACTGATTAATGTAATGTAAATGCAGCTTCAATTTGTGGAGGTGAGAATTTTAAAAATAGTACATAAGACAAAAGTCAGCTCTTTTTCCAGTGAAGAGGAAAAACTGAGTGTGGAGATAAGATGTGCAGATGAAGAGTCCAAGAATCAAAAAGTGAGAAAGCGGACCAGACACTGAATGGGGATTTCTGAATGCAGCTGCAATTACCAGAGCCCTGGTGCTTCATGCAATGAATAGGTGAGTGGTGAAGGCAGGAGGGAGCAGGGGTTTACTTTTTCAGAAGTGAGCCATTAATTGGGCTATAATGAATGAGATGCAAGAGCGAGTTCTGGAATGAAGAGAGCAAAAGGCCCTGCATAGGTAAAGTGAACACTCTGTGTTGGACATCTGAATTGGTCCTTGATGCCCCTGAACACTCAGGTACCTCAGTTTCCTGTCAGTCATCTCGTCATCAAGTTTTATTTATGGCAGCTCCACTCCCACCAACTCTAATTGAATAAATATACAGATAAAGTTGTGCTAAGATCTGTATTCCAGACCTGGGCCATGGAGTGGTGATCCAACTACTTACAGAATACACTAGAGAACATCAAACACAGTCACACACAGGCACCATAAGAAAGTGTCTCCTTAAGACCAGCACTTTCCATTCTGCTAAGGAGATATGTGTGGTGAATCAGGATGAATGAGCTACAAGTGGAAGACATTTCATAATAAGGTGACTAAGAGTAAATGATTTCAGTTGGTCTTGGGATTTAAACCAGGGTAAGAAATACATTCAATATGATAACATAGTACACACCTTTGAAGAATGACAACAAAACTTAAATAAAACACTTCTATATAGTTTGATGCTCTATGATGTATTTTTTTTGGTACTGGGGATTGAACTGAGGACCCTGTGCTTGCGAGGCAGAAGTCAGCACCACTGAGCTAAATCCCTGGCCCTCTATGGTGTATTTTATATCATGTTCTATTTCTATTATAAGAAAATTCATTGAACTTAGAATTAACAGCATGAAATTTTAAAATTACTGAGTTAGAACAACCTATTTAATGGTCAAGCAATGCCTCTTCTATCTTTACCTGCCACAGTATTTGATGGTGACCCAAGTCAGATCATGCCCTCACTGAGTGGTGATGGGCAATATGGCATTTTCCTCTGGGGTCATTTCTCATTTGAGTATCTCATCCTTTGCTTTCCAAACAGACACCCTGAGTCTTATGGCAGAGATTATTCTTGCTGTCCTGAAAATGACTCTTCCATTGTGCAACAAATTTCTATTTGACTTAGCCAATGTTGGTAGGCTAAATGGATTCCAGTCTGAAAAATAAAGTTTGGTCCCTATACCTTAACATTCAAAACATCCATAGACTTAAAGCAAGAAGGAATTGTAGAGAAAAAGTTTTGTACTTTATTAGGAAAATGTTCTCACATTTTAGAAACAATAAATTCTGAAGAAAAAAAATGTAATACATTTTAGAACTGGAAATTTCTAGTCATAAAGCAATATTACAAGGAGTGGGATTATAGTGCAGAATATATGAAATACTACATATTTCTGAGAAAAAAACCCCTGACATCCACAGAAAAAAATTGCAGCTAAGAGAATTCAACTAGCATGTCACAAAGATAGAGACAGTCAGATAACAAAATAAATACATTAACATGAGCACTTGCCTACTATGTGTGTGGCCCTGGGATGGGTCCCAGCAGCAACAAATATATGAATGTGTGCACAAATCAGTACCACTATAAAGATGTGAACATTAAAACCAACAGATACTACTGGATGATCACCAGAAAGAGCAATAAAACAATACAACAGACAGGCAACCACAAAGATTCGTAGTGACTGGAACTATCGAATGCTGCTCATGTCAGTAAGAACTGGCAGAGCCACTTTAGAAGACAGTTTGGTAGTAACTTCTTATGTATGGCCTATGAACCATCAATTCTGCCAGGCAGAAGAGAAATATACCAAAGATCCTACAAGAGTCGGCTAACAGTACTAGATGGGACAGAAACCCAGTGATTACCACTCCAAACAATGGCCCAGACACTGAAAAAGAGGGTGTCTGGAGGTTTTCTGGAGCATCCATAATGTTCTGTCTTTTGGTCTAGTAATTATATGGTGTGTTCCTTATGTGATAATTTATTGACCCATATGATTTTGAGGTCTGCCCTGCTGCTCACTTGCTGGATAAAATAATAAATATATTTATTAAACAAAATGTGGCAGGGAGGAGCAGATGGGATCATTAGAGCATACTAGGGAATACACTGGTTAATGGGTATGTTAATTATACCGACTATCATGCTGGCTTCACATGGTGTGTGCATATACCAAAAGAAACTGTGTATTTCTTAAATATATGTAAATTACTATATGTCAATTATTCCACAATAAATTGGTAAAAAAAAAAAAAAAAGTAGTACACATGTGAGCCTGAGGCTGAAAAGGAAGCATAGTCCAAACAGGTAAAAAGAAGAGGCTAAGAATCCATTAGCTAATCATTAGTCTCAATGATTTAGAAAAGGGAAATTTTATACAAGGAGAGTAAAGAGAATTCTTAGTAAAGGAGCATAATTTAACTGTAATGAAAATGAACATATCATGGAGAGTAGCAATAATGCCAAAAGTTGTTGGTTTTGTTTGTTGGTTTGTTTTTTTTTTGCGATACCAGGGATCGAACTCAGGACCTGGCGCTTGCAAGGCAGGCGCAGTGCTAATGAGCTAAATATCCGGCCCTTAATGTTGGTTTTTAAAAGAAATACTAATTAAACTGAAAGAGTTCTGGTAAATTTGAAAATGGAGCATTATGTATGAATCATGTATTTTATACTTGTAACATATGCATACATACAATCATGGCTCATTTAACAAGGGGGATACACTCTGGGAAAGACATGGCTAGATGTGCAAACATCACAGTGTGTAGTTACACAAATTTAGAGGGCACAACGTAGGGAATATTGTTCCCACTGTTGTATAAGAAATCCATCACTAACCAAAATGTGCTATGCAGCACGTGACTCTGTCATAAATCAGTGTAAACCTGGCAAAGAGATAAATAAAGCTGTTGAACTTAAAAAAAAAAAAGTAAGAAAGCTCTTTCCTTTTAGACACACATAAAGGACAATGACTGCACTACAGGATTAGAAAAAACTCCCTTCTGAAAAAAAGCTGCTAGGAAAACAGGGCATCTTTGTGGCAAATAATGTTTGCATATCCTTTCCTCGTATCAAATAATTAAATCATTTTCAATGATGATCCATACCTAAATAAAGAATCAAATTGTAAGACATTCAGATTACTTTAGAAAAGGAAATTATTCTTTGAAAGATTAAACAATATTAAAAATAAAATATTCACAAATTTGACTACATTAATGTACAAACTCTATTCAGCAAATTAAACCATTAAATAGTACAAAGAGAAGTGACATAGTGGGAAAAACTATTTGCCTCACATATGACTGAACAGTTTAAATAAGATAAAGACAGAAGTTCTAGAAGAAAAGCAGGCAAGAAACTTGAACAGTCAGATTATATGTATAAGAAATTTCAAATGTTCAGTGATCACCAAAGAGTTCAGTCAGAGAAACATAAAATAAAATCAGATTAGATAGACAAACTATTGATAAAGACAAGGAACAACTGAACTTTGACAAACTGAACATGCCGCGTGAGTTGTTATTATCCATTTGGAAAACAGTTTAGCCAATATTCGACACCTTAGATACAGATATATAGAAATCAGTGCACATGGGTACCACGATAGCATCTGAGGACACAATACTGTTGGTGCAAACAAGTGAAATCCAGGGAAGAGTGCAAGACAAGGCACATGCAGGAAGAAATACATAAAAATGTGTTGGGTACATTCTCTGGACCAGTCACCTTCTAGGTCTTACATGTCCAGCTTAACAAGTAGTATAAAACACCAAATGAATTCTATACAGATGTGACTTGCACGTGATATTACATACATATATATTTCTAAAAGAAAACAGAATGTATAAAAAATAAAAATTTGCAAAAGCTCATAGAGAAACTTGATTTCACATATTATGAATTAGATAATAAAACTAACTTCAAAACTGACCATTTTCCCCCAAATTAATCTATATTACCCCACCAAAAATTCAACAGGCTGAAGGAGGGACATACAATATTTAACAGGATATTTCTACAGAACAATAACATATTATGTCCTTGTAAAAATCTGTACCTCTTTAAAACATTTATATACTTTGTTTAAAAAGTAAAATACATAAAAAGAAAATCATATAGGGATGTGTGACATTGTAAATGTGTACTTGAGAATAATATGTAAAAATAAAAATCAGAATATTTTCCTGTTAATGAATGTTTAGTCTATTGGATACCAGTACTAAGTAAATGCTTTTCTTTTTTTTTTGGTACTGGGGATCGAACTCGGGCCCTGGTGCTTAGGGTTCAATCCCCGATACCAATAAGTTAGAGTTCAATCCCCGATACCAATAAAAAAACACACACACACACAAAAAAACAACGGAAATTAGCCAAGAAACTCCTGAATTAAAAAAATAGGGACAGCTGTCATTATGAAACTTTAATAATGCAATACTAAAGACCATACCAATAATATCCACAGATAAATCCATATAAGTGTAATAACTGTCTTATTCCAAGCACCAGAAAGCCCTATATAAATCCAACCACTTCAAGGACAGCATTAAATAAATGGATTAATACAATCAAAATGCAGAGTTTGGGGCTGGGGACATAGCTTGGTGGTAAAGTGTTTGTCCAAAACGTACAAGGCTCTGGGTTCCATCCTCACCAACAAAAATAAAGGTAGGTGGCTAGTATTTAAGGAATTTGCTGCCAAATTCAGGAGGCTCTTAAATGGTACGGGCAAGGGTCAGAGGAAAACGGGGGACGAGGATCCTCGTGAACTACAGGTCCTGGAACACCAACTCCACACAGAGTTAGGGTCATCCGGGGGATCCCGAAGCTCACAACGTGGGTTGCAGTGCAGTGCTACTCAGAGAGGGATGCAGGTAGGATCTGGAGTCTTGCAGGAACAGGACAAGACACCCAGGGTCCCTGCATTGGCCCAGCCCCCACCACACAGCCAGAAGGGACCAAGGGCCCAGATGCCCACATAGACAAGCATGAAGTCACTCACGGCACAGGGACAGTATGGGGAGTCATGGTTGTTTTACCATTGTTTCTTTAAGGCTACCCTGCAGCTAAGGGATAGGTCTGAAGCAGAACATTAACTCTGGACCTTGCAAGCTACAAGAATATGCAAATGTCACTAGATGATCTAACCACTTGTCATATCTTAAACACACCATTTTCAGGCTCACAGGCTTAAATATCGCATGGTTTGTCTCATACAAGCTCCAAAATTTTATATATGTATGTATGTGTGTATGTATGAAAGAGAGACAGAGAGAAAGAGAGAAGGAGGAGGAGGGGAGAGGGAAAAGAGATAGAGAAGGCAAAATAAAACAGAAGATAAATAGGAAGTACGGAGATCTTTTTCAAATGAATGAGGGAACAAGACATGGAGGTTGAGAGGAGAGAAGAGAGGGAAAGGGGATAGTTTAAAAAAAAGAAAGCGAGGGATAATATGAAAACAGTTTTTGCAAATGCGAAGGCGACCGAGAGTTGGAAGGAGCAGGGAGGGAGCGGAGGGGACAAAAAATTTTAGAAGTTGTATTATAAATGCAACCATTATGAACTGCAAACACGCACTGATAAAAACATCATTCCTTTCCCTACTTTATATAACGTCAAAGTCCCTTTTAGGTGCAAAATACATACTATATACATGCACATCCGACTCCCTTGGTCACTGACGCTAGCTAGCCGTAGCACTCGCTAGTGAGCTCTGCCGAGGGACTGCTGTTTAACAGACAGGAGCAGCAAGCTTCGCGTCAGAGACCCCAAGCTGCTCCCCAGACCCGCGGCGGTCCCGGAGCTGGGCGGATGGACCCGCCGGGCGGGCGGCAACCCTGGCCGGGTCCCCGCTTCCAAGCTCCGCCCGGCGCCCGCTCGGGGACGCGCAAACGCGCAGCGGGATGGACCAGCGCCTCCCTGCCCCGTCCCCGACACGCGCCAAACTCCTCACCCTGGCGGCGGCTCAGGACCCCGCCGCGACCCAACGTCCTGGGCTCCCACAGCCCAGCCGGCCCTGCCAGGCCCCGCCCCGCGAGTCAGATGACCGCGCCCGGGACGGGAGTCGAGAGCCCGAGGGAGCACGGAGGCCCGCCCCTTCCGCTCTGACTGAGCGCCTGATTGGACAGCTCTCTGCCTCTGATTGGACAAGATTTCAGGTCCTAGCCCCTCAGGTCCTGAATGACGGGAAATGGCGCCGGAGCGCTGGTTCTTAGTTCTAGTTATTTTCTTTTTAAATCTTGGTGGGGTTGGACTCCAGGCCCCTAGGCGGAGCCTATTTTTAAAGTAAAACTTCCTCCGTAGGAGAGGATGTAACCTGCCCGGGGAACGGGGATTGCATCTTTATAGGTCATGTCGGAGCACTCTGGGATGCTGAAGCCAGAAGATCCCAAGTTCACGCCCAGTCTGGAAAGCCTAGGAAGACGCTGTCTCAAAGGAAAAAAAATGCAATACGGAGAGCTGGAGATGTGGCTCAGTGCTGCATCTACTTAATCCCCAATACCGCAAAAATAAGTCACACCAGTGTATTAATTATATGTATGTGTGTATTATTCACAAATAGCATATAGTAATTATTATCTTTAAATTTCACTGAACTTTTCTGATTTCTGGCCTTGGGAGAAGGGAGCTGGGTATTTGAAATAGGAAGCAATCTCATAAGGCAGCAATGTCTGATACAAATAAACTGAGGGAAAGTATAATTTTTAACTTTTTAGTATTCACATTTTAAAAAGTTAAGAAGCCAGGAATGGTAGCACGTGTCTGTAATCCCAGCACTGTGAGAGGCAGAGGGAGGAAAATCACAAGTTGAAGTTCAGCCTGGGAAACTTAGTGACTTAGTGGAGGTCTTGTATTCAACCCCCCCCCCCCAGAAAAATTGAGTCAGGTGAAAGTGATTATCATAACACCCTGAACGCGCCCTATCTCGTATGTAATAACAATCCAGTATATCCAAAATATAACCATCGTAACTTATGGTCAATATAAAGTCATTACAAGTGTGTGTATTGTGCTACTACAGCTTCAAAAAAAAGAAAGCCTCCAGCAAATCTGCACAGAACAGTCTCATTAGAACTTGGAGAGTTTTGACTCCCCTGACCAGAGTGAAGGAAAGGCCCAAACCCTCCCTTTATGCCACAGATGAGGGAATGCAAGTCCTTACCAATTTTCCCCCTCAGATCCAAGGAGGATAAAGAGAAGCCAAGAAAGTAGGGAGACCCATTGGGAGGTGATCCACCCAGAAATGCACAGAGGTAAAACACTGCTTCCCACATCTTGCTGGGCACAGGCCACCCCCCTCCCAGAGCTCAAGCAGTTACACGAAGATGGGACCCAGGAGGCAGGTGCTCCACATCTTCCCACCTGTTCACAGCCTTGGCTCCTGATCTGAAAGTAAACTTCTTCCATGTGTTGGCCTTGGACCCAATGGTCAGGCTGTGAATGCTTGCTTTCTCCTGTGTGAGTTTAAGTACCAATCATACGTATACTTGTCTATATGTATTTCTGTATGAATGAACACCATCTAATACAGAGATCCAACTTTACATTGAAGAAGAAGGAATTTAGTAATGGGGGCACTGACTTTAAATAACTATCCATCAATATGACATTGAATCCTGGTCCCTTTCCAATTATGGGGGTCTTAGTTTTCTGTCACTGGATAATAAGCATGACAGGATTTATTTTTCTATATTTTGGTACTGGGGATCGAACTCGGGACCTTGCACTTGTGAGGCAGGTGCTGAAACCACTGAGCTAAATCCCTGGCCCCATGACAAGATTTATTAACTCATTGTCTGAGTTATTTTTCTTGTTACTGAGATAAAATATCTGAGACTGAAAGTTAAAAGAGGAAATATTTATTTAGCTCAGTTTGTAGAGGTTTCAGTCCACTATCGGCTGGCTCCAAGGCACAGTGGCATGACAGACAGGCATCACAGAGGAGAAAGAGTTCATGGTGGGCAGAAGGTAGCAAAGCAACAAGGGATGACCACAGCTTTTTCTATCCCTTATATCTTATCCAGGCTACTTAGGGCAAGGAGCACTCACACCTTTAATCCCAGTGTCCTTGAGCCTAGCATTGCACTATGAATCAAACCCAGTGTCACACACTAGATCCAGCCATCTCTGAAAAAGTTCTACCTATGACTGCATGAGACTTTAGAGAGAATCTTGACACAGGCCATAACACTCATGAATGAGTTGATCAGCAATTCAGGCTGGGCTCAGCTGGGCTCCTTCTTGTGGATGTGGTTAGCTGATGTTGGGCAAGGAGCCCACCTTCAGAGGGTGAGCTGCCTGTCAATCCCAGAAAGGCTGTGTTTTGGTTTTTCTTCTGACATTTTTCAAATCCCATTATTTCTTCTATTTAATTTGGGTTTGCATTGTTCTTCTTTTTTCTAGGCCCTTGAGATGTATCATCAGGCTATTTACTGGTGATTGCTCTATTTCTTTTTTCTCTATTTCTTTAATGTATGATGTGGTCACTGGTATAAACTTTCCTCTTAGCACTGCTTTCCTTATGTCCCACAAATTCTGTTATGTTGTATTTTCATCATTTGATTCTAGAAAAATTTTAATTTCTTCTCCAGTTTTAAATAATCTATTATTTGCGATACTAGGAGTTGAACTCAGGGTCTAATGTGTGCTAGGCAAGCACTTTAATACTGAGCTACATTGTCAGCCCCAATTCCTTTGTGTTTATTTATTTATTTATTTATTTGGTACCGGGGATTGAACTTGGGACCTTGCACTTGCGAGGCAGGAGGTGGAACCACTGACCTAAATCCTCAGCTCCTTTGTATTTATTGAGACATGATTTATGACAAAAAAATTTGGTCTATTTTTGGGAAAAAATTCTGTGAGTTACTGCAAAGAATATATATTCAAATGTTGTTGGATGAAACACTTTGTAGATATCTTTTAAGCCCATTTTTTCTATGGTGTGGTTTACCGCTGATATTTCTTTGTTGATCTGTTTGTCTAGTTGGCCTATCTACTGTTGAGAATGGTGTATTTACGTCTCCTGCTCTGATTGTATTGATGTCTTTGTGTTCTTTTATGTCAAATAGGTTTTGTTTTATAAAGTTAAGTTGCCAACATTTCATGTTTTATAAAGTTAAGTTGCCAACATTTCAAATATACAATTGTTATATTTTCCCAATGTATTGTTTATTTTATCAATATATGGTGGCCTTCTTTTTCTCTTCTGATAATTTTTTATTTGAAGTCAATTTGTCAGAAATTATAATAGCTATTCCTACTCGGTGTCAGACTCTGGCTCCATGAAATATCATTTTCCAACCTTTCATTTTCAGTCAGTATCTTTCTCTGTGGATGAGATAAGTCTCTTGCCAGCAACTGATAGTTGGGTTTTGTTTTTCCATCCAGTCTGCTAGTCTGTATCTTTTGATTGGAGAATTAAGACCATTACACTGAGCATAACTATTAAAAGGTATATGATTCCTGTCATTATATTATTTTTCCCATGCTTGATTCTTCTTACTACATTACCAGTTGGAAGTACTCTTTCCTTTGGGCTCTTTGATATTAGCCTCCACATTTCTGTTAAGGATTCACTTATGTATTTTCAGGAATGCTGGTTTGGGTGCTATGTATTTCTTTCGATTTGATTTATCATGGAAGGTCTTTACTTCTCCATCAGTTTTGAAGGATCACTTTTCAGGATTTAGTAATCTGGGTTGACAATTATTATCTTTTTGGGCTTGGAAATTTTCATTTCAAGTTCTCCTAACCTTTCAGGTTTTGTTGAGAAATGCACTGTTATTCTGATAAGTTTGCCTTTATAAGTTACTTGGAAATTTTCACAAATAGCATTTAGTATTCTGTCTTTGTTATGCAAAGAGATTTGCAGGGATTTTGACTATTATGTGTTGTGGAGAAGTTCGTTTATGGTTTTATGTATTAGGTGTTCTAAATGCCTTTTTTATCTAGATGTTTATCTTAAACCCCAGACTTGGAAAGTTTTCTGCAATAATTTGGGTGAATAAGTTTACTATACCATCAGATTCTAATACAAACCCATCTTGAATTCCAATTATCCTTAGGTTACTTCTTTTGGAGTCATCTAAGATGTCTCAGATCATCTTGGTGTCATTTTTTTCAGAATTGCTGAGTTGATGATTATTGTGATTTATATCTAGACATCCGCCCAAGAGCCTCATGTACTCATAGGTGGGACTTTTGGAAGGTGATTATGTTATAGGGATTAGAGAAGATTTGTTAGGAGATGGGGCCTGATCAGAAAAAGGGGGTCATTGGGGGTGTGGCCTGGAAGAAGTTATTTCCCTCCAGCCTCCCTTAAAATTCTCTTTACTTCCCCACCATCAGACTGTGAGCAGCAGTCCTCAGCTCTCTTCAGCTGTCCTGCACCATGTTCCTCGGCCATGAGGTCCTGCCTTGGAGGCACTGAACTATGGATTGAGACCTATACAAACTTCGAGCCAAAATAAACAACTCCTTTAATTTTTGGGTGTTAGGTCCTACACGACTACAGTGTGTCTCCCCAAGGAGATAGTGACTGAGACAGTGACCTACTATATTGACCTTGTCCTCATGTCCAGATATTCTATCTTCTGACTGACCATGCCTACTACCAAAACTTTCATTGCATTTTAAAAAATTTCTGGGCTTTCTGTTTGATTTCTTTTCAAAACCTCAGTTCTTACTAAAGTGATCATTTATACCCTACATTGTCTTTCTTAATTCACTTGTTTTACTTGCATCTTCTTTAAGTTCATTTATCATTTTATTAATCAGATCATTCAGCTGCTTATATATTTCTTTTTAAGTTCATTAAACATCTTAACAATTGCCTCATTCATCTGCTTATGTGTCTCTTATTTATCTTTTCAAACATTTTAAGTATTTGTTTTTTATCTTCTTTATCTGAACATTCCTCC